GAAATTTAGTAAAACAAATGATGCTAAAATATCGAAACATATTCCAATAATAGAAAATATGTTTCCCATTAAAAGTTGTTACGCTCTCTTGTAACGTGTAACGATCTATTGCAAGAAGCGGCATTGCTATTCTGCGGTATAACGCTAAAAAACCGTAGACACGTGTGAAATGGTTCCATAACGAGCGCGTGATTTAACAAGCGGTTATGCAAGTAAGCTCGATACGCGAACAATCTGCGGAAAATTAATAAAAGGTGAATTACACTGAGAGGGAGATGCAAACACGAGCATGTTTTTTTTTTAAGTATATCGTATTATGTGCAATTATACGGAAATTTTAATATAACGATTGAATGTAATTGTAACTATGGTACAAAATGTAATAATAATAAAAGTCGGTTCATCTTTGTTAAAGTACGAAATTTTTGTAAACTGATTCAATTTAATATTTAAAATTAAAATCTAGTTGTTTATGTATTATTAATTCTTTACGATATCGTGAGAGACTTAAATTAAGCGCAAATAACTCATTAATGATATTTCATCATATTGAGCTAATTAAATAGATAATTTTAACTTTTTAAGACGCACTACGCTTTATCGGTGTATATTTTTGCTACGCCGCGTGTATATAGTACGATATATATATTTCGAAATCTCCTGAGATCGCGCCTCTATTAAACCTGCAAGTAATCACATTGAGACACGCGCGTGTCACGAGATACTAATTACCCGCATCTCGCGTTACTTCGCACGCATCTATCGCCTTCAATGATAAATCGCACATTCACGCTCTCATACAATAGCATTAAATCGCGTCGCGCATAATCGGATAATCCGTTTAAAGAGCGCGATATACCTATATATATATATATATATATACACACACACACACAATATTTATAATATAAAAATATTATATAATGTAAATATTTTATATAATAATTTTTTTAAGAAAAAATCTTTATATTTTACTGTGTACTCTGAGACTTTTTCCAGATAGTATACGCCAGAAATGAAAGTGTAATTGAAAACCGGTATGCTCCATTTTCACTACGATCTTTGCTGCTCCACTTTATGTATAAATTTGCAATCAATAATCTCGCGACATCGAAAACTCCACACGTCATCGTATCGAATAAGAAATACAAATATATTTTTCTTATCGGCCTTTCTCTTTGCGCGTATCTATCATCGACTTTCTATACACAGTCTTATGTTAGTATAATTTTCCACATCTCGACACGTTATAGATATAATCGTAATTTATTTTATTGTAATGCAAAATATCTTATATCGTAAAGTATATCAAAAAGAATAAAAAAATCTATCAAATTTTCTCTTCTAAATTATTAACGAATTGATTATTACATAGTTTTTTCCAGATTTTAGTAAATTAGATTTATTTCTTATCGTTGACATTCCTTTTCGCTTTATTTATTTATTCAGCACATATTTCATTTTTAACCTTTATAAATTTATTCAAATATATATAATATTGTATATGTATATTTTTTTTTACACGCAAATTTAACTGAAACTGTGAAAAGAATTGTGTGAAATTGATATCAATATTACATTTACACATTAAATTTCTTTCAATGCGATTTTTGAAACAACTTTGTTATCATTGACAGAATGTTCGTAAATGTCCAATCAACTGAACTAATAATACCACTCGTTAGCGAATGCCATTAAACTCTCGTGTTAAATTTCTTGCGCGGAATTTGATGATGTCGTATGTGCTATCCATATACATAATATACAAGAGTATTCTATCAAAGTCGCGCGGTAATAGCAAAAAATTCACTATATCAGCGTTCATTATAGCTATCGACTCGAGCGTAAATATTGATAGACATCGAGCGCACACACGTACACAAAAGAGGTTGAGCTCGACCTCGGGAGGTCATCGGAGTCGCGCAGGTCGGAAGCGGTCTAAGCTTCGTTAGGTTACCCCAAGACAAAGACAATCCGGGGGAAAAAGAGAATGGAGCGATCAAAGGGGGGAGGAGAAAGAAGTAAAGGGGAGAAAAGAGAAAGAGAAAGAGAGAGAAAGAGATAAGTTTCGAGTCGTAATTTACCGTGCGAAAGGCTGTTCCTCGACCTCGTAGAGCTCCTCGAGGGTCTGTTTGGAGAGAAGTCTCTCCAGTCTCTCGGGCGTGGGAGCGAGGTGCCCCGGGATGCTGGTAGTCTCGAACAGGCTGTCCGCGGTCATGGCCGTTGCTGCCAGAGCTTCTGTCACAGAAAGTTGAATCTCGAAACTCCAGAAAACGGTTGCACAACGCGCGTTGCACAAAAACCAAGCAACGTAGAAATCCCAGAAACCGATGCACACACTAAGAGCGTCACACGAGAGAGAGAGAGAGAGTTTCTTTGTATATTTCTCCCTTCTTCCCTTCTCTCTTCCACTCACAGCCGATTCTCTCTTTTGATCGCGCGATCGTGATAAACGCGAACGCGCGCGCGCCCGCGCGCTCACTTCTTTCCGTCAACGCCACGGAGCATGAAATATCGCGTCACTATCGCGCGAGGTATGTCGTGAAACACATCTCAACGTGTCGAAAAAAAGCGGTAATAGCAAAAAATTCACTATATCAGCGTTCATTATAGCTATCGACTCGAGCGTAAATATTGATAGACATCGAGCGCACACACGTACACAAAAGAGGTTGAGCTCGACCTCGGGAGGTCATCGGAGTCGCGCAGGTCGGAAGCGGTCTAAGCTTCGTTAGGTTACCCCAAGACAAAGACAATCCGGGGGAAAAAGAGAATGGAGCGATCAAAGGGGGGAGGAGAAAGAAGTAAAGGGGAGAAAAGAGAAAGAGAAAGAGAGAGAAAGAGATAAGTTTCGAGTCGTAATTTACCGTGCGAAAGGCTGTTCCTCGACCTCGTAGAGCTCCTCGAGGGTCTGTTTGGAGAGAAGTCTCTCCAGTCTCTCGGGCGTGGGAGCGAGGTGCCCCGGGATCACACGCCCGTATGAAATACAAAAAAAAAAAAAAAAATAAAAAAAAAAAAAAAAAAGAACAGGGAGAGATCCGATCGGCCAAGTCGATCAAAGTCCAGCAAAGCACTCCGGCCGCGCGCTACCTGCGTGAAGTTCGCCGCCCGGCGTGCGTGCGCGCGCACGCCGACACACTCGTACTCGCGATCCGAAACGGATCCTCGCGATGGACGAAATAAACGTCGCGCTCTTTCTCGTCGAGTACCGATCGCAGCAGCCGCGTGGCACGCGCTCTCTTAATCCCTCGCTCGACTCTTATCGCGCGCACCGACCGCTCATCGCAACGATTCACCGACAATTGAACCTTCCACCGTGACGTCTGCGCGTCGTTCCCACTCGTCCTCACTCCCCACTAGCGGCACTGACTGACTGAGATGTAGAGTGGGAACTCGACATGGCGGGGGCGGTCGTGACGCGGGAATAGCCGAGCGCCGCCGAACATGGCCGAACGCTGCGCGTTCGAATGCGCGCTCGTTTACTTCCTACTACGAATCGCCGAGAGAACCCGAGCTTAGGATTTTAAGCCTTCTGGCGACGGTGCATTAATGTTCTCCTAGTTTCTTCCCATAAGATGCCGTATATAACTTACAAGGAGAGTTATATGTATACATGTACCTGTCTTTGGCGAAACAGGAGAAAACTTGCTCGCGACAGAATCGATCGTTGTCGGTAGTCAAATCGCGCTGTCGTTCCATGTCTCTTTCTCTCTTCTGTCAACATATATAAAAAATTATATGTTTATATGGCTTATAGTTTCTTTCAATCCCTTCGCACATTTAAATATAATATTCGGATAAATATAATTATTTATATAAATATGTCGACGTGTATCCAAAGAAAAATTGAGAATATGTTCGATATGTTCAATCGCCATTTTAAGCGACAAACTTTACGGGATTTATCTACAATAATTTAAATGAGGAGAGAAAAAATGGTACACTACGTGATATCGAATTAATATACATATATATATATACGTAGCTCACGTGTGTGTGATATTCTCTATTTTAAATATTTTACTATTACATCTAGCATTTCAGTTCATTGAATATGCGAGCAGGCTCGTGCGAAATAAGACAGGCATGAAACTTTGTGATAGGCTCTTAAGAGGGTGTAGGTTATAAATAATTTATTACTTTCCGGCATTTCTGGCCTTTTGAGCTTCGCGCGGACTCAACTAGACGGGCGTTCCGCGTCTTCTCCTCTTCCGCGTATATCCTTCGATCCTCAAAGCTCAGCCGTATTCAAGCTGGTAAATTGAATAGCTCACAGTCAATGCCGTAAACGGTCCTCCTTACCTCGAAGTAGCAAACAAACGCGGTGCCCGAGAGGCCTGTAAAGCATGACAGGATCTTGTCAACCGCCGGTACATGATTATGGCGAGCGAGCATGAATAATGGAATGCATAATTTATCGGTTTTACGGCGAAAGACCGGTACTGCGATGCGAGGGGGAAGGTAGAGGGGCGATGAGGGAAGAGGTGAGGGAGGGAAGAGTGGTCAAGGGGACGAGCATATCGCGGTTGCAACTATGCGCTCGTATTTTATATTACATCCTCTAATAAGCTGCTGCAGTTTCCGACACTTAAATGCAATAAATCAAGCAATCTCCGATAAGCAACCGCATTGCTTCCTTACAGATAGTATGACGTAATATACATTTTTATAACGTATAGCTATTCAATTTGGACGTTAACGCGACAAATAGGACGAGACAAGATTAATCAATGAATCATCATATGGTGTTTTTTTTTTTGTTCCCTTTTTTGCTTTCGTCGCAG